ACTGAACCGAAATACATGATTTATTCGGTCGGTTAACCATATTATCGTAATTATTATAAATCATTTATTTGTTTATATTATAAAAATTATTTAATATTTGAATAATTTATTTAATATTTTTACATTAGTTTTTATTGTAAATACCTAATATATGAAATACCAAAATTAATGATGATTTAAAAAAAAAATAATGTACATTTTAGTTTAGTATTATTGTCCAATCTATCGAGCAGGTATTTTTATGTGCATTTCGATTTTAGAATGTTCAATAATGTGTATTTTTAATTAACATTATTGTGCACTTATTAATTTATGTATATATTAAAACTATATCTAGTATTTATATTTGTTTATTTAATATTTGTTATTGTTGTTTGTTGAAATAAACGATATACGTAAATGATATAAAAATATATTTTTTTATTCAATTTTGATATATGTTTTTTTTTCTTTTTAAAATAAAGATGAAATCGAACAAAACTATTTAAAAATTTAATATATGTATAATATGCACATCGTTGTGATAATGTGCATTATCTTATGTATTATTGTGCATTTGGTATAACACTGTCGTGCTTTCCGACAATCACTAACGTGCAGTGCTGTATTTTTTTTTTATGTACTTAAATAATTAAATCTTTTTTATTATTTATGTTTTAAATTATATTAGTATTTTAATAGTTTTCATTGAATATTCTTATATTATTTCTTAATTTAAAATACATAATATATATATATATATATATATATATTTAGAAAGAAAGTCTCGTTGAAAGCTTCGTTCGTAACAAGAAAAGAAGGAGTTTATTGGTTGGTGTGAAACTTACAAAATTATAAGATATATTGTTGTCGATTTCAGCTAACTAGTGCAGAGCTCGTGCGATCTACGGGGTGCACAATTTTAAGGCCATTTATCCATTCAAGTATGCAAGATTAAATGAATAAAGAAAAATGTACGGATATATATAGTAAGTGACCAGTGCGAGACACGAGATATATTTATTTGGAAAATATTATATTATAAAATGCAATATTCAATAAAAGTTTTACAATACACAAGAAAATTGTACAATAAAATAGTATTCGAGAAATGAACAATCATATATTATTAAAGACCTCCTTGTAAACAACATTATGAGTTTGATTATTGGGCAACTCGTTATCCTCACAAACTAATATCTTCAACCCCTTCTATTAGTTACATGCGAAACAACAACATATAATTGGCCATGACTAAAGACGGATTTCTTTAGAAAAAGACCAACGTGGGATAAAGACTGTCTCTGACTCTTGTTTATGGTCATGGCATACAAAACCACAAGTGGGAACTGTCGCCAGCTAGAACTTAAATGAAACCTTAAGATCAAAAGGAGTAATATTCATTCTAGGAATCAACACTTTGTCGCCAGCATGATCGCCCGTCAATATCTTGCATTCAAGCACATGAGCGGAGAGTTTGGTCACAACCAACCGTGTCACATTGCATAGTCCCATAGAATGGTCCATGTTTTGCAACAACATGACTGAAGTTACAATCTTTAACGAATTATAATTTTAACAAATAAAAAAAAATCGATTAAGATTTAACAATCACATGTTTTAAAAAATGGATTAAGATTTAAAAATAGATTAAAATACAATCATACACGTAATGTAGAATCAGTTAATACAAATTATAAATTAAACAAATAAAATTTAAAAAAAAAATGATTAATTAATTAACAATCATACGTTTATAAAAATCGATTAAGATTTAAAAAAATGATTAAAAAACAATCATACACGTAATGGAGAATCGGTTAAGCCAAATTATAAATTTAACAAATAAAATTAAAAACAATCGATTAAGATTTAACAATCATACGTTTAAAAAATCGATTAAGATTTAAAAATCGATTTAAAAACAATCATACACGTAATGTTTAAGCCAAATTATAAATTTAACAAATAAAATTGAAAAAATTGAAACTATACGTTTCATAGTTCGAAATTAAAAAAAAAAAAGTCCAAATAAATTGGCTTACAGTTTTATCATATAGAACTAACTCAAGATAAGATTTATATGTGCTGCCCAAGCCTATTAACTTGTTTGATTAAGCCAAAACTTTGATTCATTATTTTGAACTAAAGACTGTGTTGTAAGTATTTTTACCGGAGTAGAATCGAAAGATTCAACACCGGGTCGTATCGCAAGGAAGGTTAGCCGGATTCAATTGCACGAATATTCAATCACGAAAAAGAGA